GTCGAGATGCGAAAAGGGGCACTGTGAATTTTGAATAGATTCGACTCAACTTTTGGCATTGCGTATTATATGGCTAAAGCTATGCCCATATTGAATTTCATGCAATTCAGTTAATAACTAACGGAGATGTAAAAACAATGGGGCATTTCTAAACAAAGTTATCGTTCACACGGACAGATAGATGGACAACAGACAAAGGAACAGACGGACAGACCAACAGACAGACGACAGATAGCAATGCAAAATTATAAACGATCTAGGATCGTTAATAAACGGCAAAAGTGTAAAATTATGGAACATGTAAAAAACGGTTTTTTGTTTTTTTACAATAACTTTTTTTGTAAGCGGTACAGAAAAATTCCTTCCTTGGTACAAGACTCGACACCATAACGAACCAAATAGCGAAAAAAGTAGAACAATAGCTCTTAAGATAAAAAAACTAGTAGCGTCGCAAAGTTAGCGGACGGACGGACGGACGGACGGACGGACGGACAAAGTGGCCACAATAGCGCATTTTTTTTTATTTTTGTGGAAATGCGCTAAAAAGACACTATAAAAACAGACTTAAAAAAGACCAAGAAGGAATTAAATTCTGAACTCTGAATGACATCGTAAGAAGGTATTAGAGGGCGAGAAGGGCAAGGAGACCAACGAACCCAAAAGGTTCGAAGACGTAAAAAAAGCCCAGGAGAAATTTGTCATAATTATTAACGTACATTTGTAACCGAATATTAGTATTTTACACTTATATTATCGTGTCTACCGTTTGGGAGATCTCTCCAACATTATTAGTAGGGCCACCCAGCAGATATTTACCATATTTATTTACGCACCGGTTTTCGACGGAAGTTGAGCAGCTAATGGAACTTGTTATAAATCAAACATAGCTCTCTGTGACGTTCTTTAAACGCCACAAAGCGAACTCTTCACCAGTATAATGGGTTGTATGACTATGGGCACACTTTTGATATTCGTTGAGTCACAAATTGTACCTGGTCTGAACAATCGGTGGAAATACACTTTCCCTTCTTATAATCAAGGGCTAAGTTTAAAAAGCGACGAATACAGAAAACTAGAATGTATAAAAAGTGTGCCCGGAAGAAGTAGGAGAAGAAAAAAAATGGAAACAGGAGGCCAACGTTAGTAAAAAAAACATCAACAAATAAAGAAAAATAGAATAAATTGAAACAAGGAAACAGAACATAAATAGGAATCAGCGAAAAATGGATGTCAAAAGGAGGAGAGGAAAGGAAGAGATGGGGAAAAAAAAGTGGGACTCATCGATTTACGTTGGATACCAATGTAATTACATCTTAAAAGTAGATCGGCAATTACAGTTTTTTTGTAGGAGTGTTTCACAAGCAAAAAGTTCTTGGAAACTAAGCAGACTATCCCTTGGTATTAAAATTGTAGTTTATGGCTAAAAAAGTAAAATAAAAAGCTCATTGTTAATTTAGATGAATACAATGTTATATGTAGATTGGTTCCTCTGCTTCTTCCACTTCTCCAACTAATTCAAAATCTTCTAAATTTCTCTTGATTTCCTCATCAGGCTACTTTACATTTTTCTTTCAGCACCTTCGGCTTCTTTGTTATGAAAAGAAAATTCTCTCCCCTCATGTCTTATTTACCAGCTTTGTGACTCAACGAATATCAAAAGTGTGCCCATAGTCATACAACCCATTACATTGGTGAAGAGTTCGCTTTGTGGCGTGTAGAGAACGTTACAGAGAGCTATGTTTGATTTATAACAAGTTCCATTAGCTGCTCAACCTCCGTCGAAAACCGGTGCGAAAATAAATATGGTAAATATCCGCTGGGTGGTCCTACTAATAATGTTGCAGAAAAATCTCCCAAACTGTAGACACGATAATTATTCATAAATGTAAAATACGTTGGATCTAGAGCAGCGAAAGAGGATCATGCGAAAAATGGTGCAGGAAGCAGATTACGTAAGCCGATACCATTGATAAATGATAATGTTTTGGAAAACAATCATACATCAAACTTAAACTAATATTCGGTTACAAAAATGTACGTTAACAATCATGAAAAATTGCTCCTGAGCACGTTACCGCTTATATGGAGAGGAGTGGCCCAAATTTAAAGTGGTTCCTTTAATCCAATTGTTAATTGCACTGCTTTTGGTTTATTGGAATACTTTTAGTTTGGTCTCCACTCTTCATTTGTTTCCTTTAGGTTTAGTTTCATGTTTTTGGTTGGTCTTCGTTGTCATATTTCTGTCCCTTGTGGTAGCCTTTTTCATCATCCTATTGTTTTTACACTTCAAATGTAGCATTTCGGGTACGTGTGTGGTTCCTGTAACCTTTTTGGTAACTTCAGTCGATTTTTGGATCTATTAGTATCACTTTTTCTCTTATATATTTGTGGTATATGTTCATTCTCTCTTTACTGCCCCTTTAGGAAGTTTTTTATTTTCTTTGTGTCGTTTTTGGTCCCGCTTTAATCCCAATTTTGCTTCAATTGTAGTATTTGTCTTCGGTTTGATTTTAGCGATAATTTTTGACGTTTCTGGACTGTTTAGTAACTTTCTTGAGTTTCTTGTCACTTTTTCTTCACTTTTGCTTTGTTTACCTCTTCGAACCTTTTGGGTTCGTTGGTTTCCTTGCCCTTCTCTCCCCCTAATACCACCTTACCATGTCATGGTCATTAATCATTTCAGAGTTCAGAATTTAACCCCCCTTGGCCTTTTTAAAGTCATTTTTTAGTGTCTTTTTAGTCCTTTTGTTCTTTTTTCTGCTATAAACCTCGTGTTAATACTTTCAGTAGGCAATTGTCTCGTGTGTTTTTTTGTCCTCCCCGTTGTTTCGTTCAGGTGTACTTTTAGTTTGTTTGATCTCTTTTTCTTGGTGTCTTTGCCTTACTTAGCCTCTTTAATCCAGTACCCAGTAGCCAGTTCTTAGTCTCCCTTTAGTTTTCTTTTCTTTTCCCTTAACCCTTAGTAGGTATATTTTTAGAGCTTCACTATCGTCATTTTTGTCTTTTATTGACATTCTACGTCCCTTTGGTTCCTTTGACTTTCTTTTTAAGTTTCTATTTAGTCAATTCTTGAGATACTTATGGCCTTTTTAGTGTTTTAAACAGGCTCTCATGCCACTATTTTTTATTTTATTACTGATTTCATTTTGGTCCAACTTTTCAGTGCATTGTAGTCTTTTTTATTTTACAATATTTGCCTTTTTATTTAATTTTTCGTTTAGCGTTCTTCATCTCTTTGATCTCTCTAGTCTGTTTAGTCTCGTTAGTCACTTTAGTCATTTTTGACCCTTTCTTTTTAACCTTTTTATACTTTAATCTGCTTTTAGTTGCCTATTGTCTCTTTGGTCCCTTTAAGCTTAAATTTTCCTTTGGTTTAATTTCTCTCTTCTCTTCATATCTTGGTATCTTTAATTTTATAAGGTTATTTAGTTTTTGTATTCTCCTAAACCTTGATAGTCCCGTTTTTTATCGTTTACTCTCTATTTAGTACCTTTAACTCGGTTCTTAGTCTTAATCTTATCTTTAGACTTTCATTTCATGTTCTAGTTGCACCAATTCTCTTTATTATAGGTTTTGTACAAATTAATTTTTCCGATTAAATTTTTCTTCACTTCTTTTTGGTCTATTTGACTGTTCTTTGGTGTTTGCCTTGAACCCAGAGCAGTGAAAGGTGACCATGCAGAAAATGTTACAGAAAGCTGTGTTTGAGTCGCTAGGTAAACCATAACCATAACATCCGGCTAGAAATGTACGTTAATAAATATGACAAATTCCCTATAGGTCACCGTACCGCTTATATTGGGGAGAAATGTGCCAAATTCAAAGTTTCCGCAAATGTAACATGTAAGGAATACTTACGATCTATCGAAACAAAAAAAAATGTTTTAATTGTGGCCGTGCAAATAATGTGGTAGTGGGTTATATTTAACTACCACCGAATAACGTTATAATATTTAATGTTTTTTTTATAATTTTGAATTTTTGTTTTTGGCAGACTGCCATACACTAAAAGTGCCCACCAAACGAAAGGCAACGATTAATATCCACGGCCAAAAAATCCTCGATTCACGTCTTCCTCTGCTATTTAAATCATTATTCACTCTCTCAGTTCCGTTCCCCCTTCTGCAGGATAATTGATACTTCGTCTAATGAAATTAACAACCCGTGTTTTCTTATGGGCGAAACATGATTAGCTCCAAATTTAATTAGCTTTACGTAGCGATAAAGAACTCTTATTGCAATTGAATCAAGAGCACGTTTTCTCCAATTTTAGTGAGGCTGTGGTTCTTTTGATGCAATTTCAATTTATTTAACGGGGTAGATATACGGTTTTCCACAGTTTTCATAAAGGTTGTTTCATATAACATATTAATATAATACAAGATAAGATAACATAACGTACCGTAACGTAACATAACGTACCGTAACGTAATGTAACGTACCGTAACATAACGTAACGTAACGTAACTTAACGTAACATTAAATAACATAATATAATATAATATAAGTAATATAGCAGTATTGTATGCAAGCTCTTTATGCTTCTTTATTTCCTTGTTAAGGCCTC